CCCCCCCACTCTGACACTCTTCCGGCTTGGATTATGTGTTGTCGTTGGTGGCAGATTACATCAATGAATGGGAGCATAAAGTTGGAGAACGTTTTCTTCCACTACCAAATGCGTCCGCAGCACTCTGTTCTCGCAGGTGTGAACCTGACCGTGGATGAAGGAAAGGTTTGCGCACTTGTTGGCCGCAGCGGTGGGGGGAAGTCGACGATTATTCATCTCTTGATGCGCTTCTATGACCCAGTGAGCGGCCGAATTTTGCTGGACGGGAGGGACTTGAAGGACCTCAATCTACGTTCTGTCCATCGGCACATGGGTACTGTTGCCCAGGATACCCAGATGTTTGCGTGCTCGATCGAAGAGAACATCACGTATGGTCTGCCCACATACAGCAAGGAAGAGATGGAAGAAGCTTCCAGGTTGGTATTTTGCTTCTTTTGAATGTGCCGCCGCCCGCCCATGATTACCTTCCATTTCTTGCCTGGCTTATATATTGTTTATTTTTGTTTCTTTCCAAATTTTGTAAATGGTGGTTTTAATTTTGAAATAGTGTTTTTTTAACTTTTTTTAATCCATATCTGACAGGCAACTGCATATCTTGGTTTTTCATGTGCCACTTCAGGCAAGCGAATGCACACGACTTCATCATGAGATTTCCGGAGGGGTACGCCACACGGGTCGGGGAGCGAGGAGTTCGGTTATCGGGTGGGCAACGACAGGTAAAAAAGAAAATTATGAAATTAAACTAAGGCACCCACGGCAACCCTTGAAGGGTGAACCCCTATACCCTAAAAATCGAATATGTGCTAGGATTTGGGCTGCTTTCGGTGGGCGCATTACAAAAGAAGAAATGTAGCTTATGGCTAGAGAGAGAGAGAGAGAGAGAGAGAGGGAGGGAGGGAGGAATTTCTGGCTGTGGTGGATGCTGAACTCCAGCAGCACATGCCACACTGTGGCTTGTGTTGGGCGATACCACAAGCTGCTCGGATGGCATCTGGGAGAAACGAGATGTGGGAGAGAGAGTGGGGCACTGGGGCTGGTATGTTTGATCCGCGAGTCAAACCCCCGACCTTGGACCTTTTGGTCTTGCACCTCCGGTGGGACACGGCGGTACATGGTCACTGCTGAAAGGTATCAGGAAGGTGCTAGATGTGGGAGAGAGGGGAGATACTGGATGTGCGAGAGATGGAAGGTAGATGGGAGGTTCTAGATTTGGGGTAGCGAGTGGCGCTGTTGTTTTTTACGGAAGTAGTCTGGCCGGAGGGGAGATTGAAGGCTGGAGGACTGGCCACAGACCCAGACTTACTTCCACCCACAAATCGTAGCTGGAATTGGGGCCTTGCTCCACTGCTCGACATTCTACATGAATGTGGACTGTGCTGGGACCAGGTACATTCAGACTGAATGTATCTTGACGAATATCAGCTAAGTGATACATGTAGAATATTGTGCAATCCAGGCAAGCCATAGGTAACATAACAAAGTTGTGACCGAACAATGCGAATCCTTGTACGTCTCGGCTGCATGCCCACATTTGAAAGTGAAATACAATTCGAATACTCAATATTTTAATTCAATAGCATCTCCGAGAATGATGATAAATAATAAATGTCAAGGGGAAAAAACGAAGAGAAAAAAAAAACGAAGAGAAAAAAACGATAGTGTCTTGCTCATGTGTCATTTGTCGTCGAGGGGAAAAAACGAAGAGCAAAAAAAAAACGATAGTGTCTTGCTCATGTGTCATTTGGTTATTGACTTGCTGCTCTTGTTCTCTTGTTCTGTGGATTGGTTGGTGTTTCCTTTGCGGCCTGTAGCGGCTCGCAATCGCCAGAATGCTACTGCGGAAGCCGAAGATTTTGCTATTGGATGAGGCGACAAGTGCGCTCGACACAGAGAGTGAGGCTTTGGTGCAACAAGCGCTGGATCGTCTGATCGAGGCAGGCGGGAGGACGGTCATTCTCGTCGCCCACCGCCTCTCCACAGTGCGAAACGCACACCAGATTGCTGTCATGGAGAAGGGGAGGGTGGTCGAGCTAGGAACCCATGATCAGCTCATCACAAAGAGTAAGAAATTAGGAAAAAAACGTGTTTCTTGTATTTCGGTTTCTTATCCGTCTTTCTTGGCTTTCTCTTATTACAAAGTAGTCGACACACCGCTCAAAAAAAAAAAAAAAAAAAAAAAAACAAGTACTCTACAGACTCTACAATATCTATAGCACATCATCGCCTGATCCAGGCAGGCAGAAGGACCATCTCTTTGCCCCTCTTTCTTTCTGCTCATCCTCTGTCTTAGACTCCGCAGTGTGAAATGTACACCACCAATTGCTGCCTTGGAGAAAGGGATGGTGAGGGTGGTGGAGCAAAGAACCCTTACCCAGCTCATCATGAAGAAGAAAGTGGCATTTCTTTCTTTTTTCCTCGACTTTTGAGTCTTTTTTTTTTTTTTTTTCCTCGATATGAGAAAAGACTGGATTCTCAGTGTGAACGGACCTTCTGTAGTCAAATGTGAACTTAAGCGTAAGTGTGAAACTGAAGTGAGATGACATGCGGTAAACACACGAGAAGTGCAAACAGCAAGTAATTGAATGTAATTCACACACGACAAGTGTTCAAAAATAATGTACAAGGAAAAGAAAAGGAGAAAAAGTACAAGAACATGCCAAGCTCCGGTGGGTGGGTGATGTCCAAACGCACAAGAAGTCAAATGCGTACGAGCACTGCGAACGCACAAGAAGTCAAATGTGTACGAGCACTGCGTCGTGTTTGTCAACAAACAATGCCAAAGGGATATTGCATTGCTGTTATGATCTATGTTACCCGAGTGGCACCAGACCAATTGCACGGTGGTAGAGTAGTAGTCACGCTGACGGTCGGCACCCCTGGATTGGTCGGGGGCTGACAAGCCAACCGTCGGGACTGTTCGGCACCTACGGGTCGGGGGTCGGTCTCCACCCTGTTAAAATAATAATAATAATAATAATAGTAATAATAATAATAATAATAATAATGATAATAAATTGGGTCCAGAAGGACAAGAACCCCAAATAACAAGTAACCCCATCAGCCCCCCCCGCCCCCCCCCCCCCCCCCCCCCCCCCCCTTAACCCCCTACAACCCCCCTATAACCCCAATACCTCCGCTTACTACTCCCACTACCCCCTCTCCTCAAGCCGTGCACAACCATGTAATCAGGAAAAAAAAAAAAAAATCAATGCAAGGCAGTCTACCAACCGCCGATGGGTTCGCCTATGTGTCAGGCCGACTGGTAGGCGCGCCTACCACCTACGATAGGCGCCAAAACTACCCTGCTGGCTGGGCCAAAAAGGGGGGGGGGGCGGAATCTAATTTTGTTTTTTGTTGTTTAAACTTGTTTTAAATTTGGCAAAGAATTCCCATGCGACCCTGACGAAAAAGTTGTCCGGACTTCTTTTTTTTTTACAGGGACCTCTGGCCTTGCCTAGCCAGGCCGCCTGGGCAACGAAGGAAGGTGTCTCTTTCTTTTGTTTTTTGGACTCGCTCTCTTTGATGGATCCCGAGTTGTGAAAACAATGGACACTTCGCTAACCCTTCTTTTTGGGGGTGTGATCCTTTGTTGACCTTCTCTGCAGATGAGGGAGTTTATGCGAGACTTGTGAGGCGGCAGGTGTACAGTGAAGCAAACAAAATTGCTGAGGATTTCGCAGCTTATTCCGGCGGCATGTCGGTGCACATGGACAGCAGTAATGGGTTGTCAATCCAGATGGCTTCCCAGCCATAGCCAGCCAGAGCTTCGCATGTTCGTTTTCATGTCAATGAATGGTGCTTTTTGCAGTCGCACCGCTGTTCGATACAATACAGTTTGCTGGCCGTGGGCAGTCGACGCATCGAGGGAATCATCGCATGGATGGAGCAAGAGATCAAAAGTGAGCATGAGGCAGGCAGAGGAGTCGATAGGAGCGTTGTACCCTATGGCTCTCTTTCGCTCTCTAGTGTTGCCATTTCTGCTGAACCA